AACTAACTTTTGGGGTACTGCTTTAACACAATCTATATTTCAAGCTATAATCTTTTATATTAAATGTAGACAAATTTATTAATCTTTTAGTTATTATTCCACAGTATACTACTTGCTTTATATAGTGCTACTAAAGTTGATATTGTTTGTAATATAAGTATTAAAGGCTTTCCAGTATATCCGTTTTTATTTGTAGATATATTACTAATAATTATTTTCACTTTCAGCTTAGTGCTGCAAGGAGATCTAGAACCTTGACTAACAATGCACTAGCATGGTACTTATTACTGAAGTTAGTAATATATAATACAATATTTAATACAACTTTTAACCTTATATAGATATCAAAAATATAAATTTAATTAGACCAATTTTTTTCCACAAATCTTCACTATATCTACTACTTCACTTGTTACTTCTAGTTTAGATATTAGTATTATCCTTTCAATTAAAATTTTAGACCTTCTAGATTGTTAGTGCTACTATGAAAATCTTTTACTATATTTACTACTTCTAGTTTGGAACATTAATATTATCTTCTCAAACAAAATCCCAGACTGCCTAGATTATTGGTATTATATAAGTACTTTGAGGATTTATACATACAATCTATTTGTTTTAAATCTTCTATAATATTACTATAAATAGCTATATAAAAGACCCCCATGGTAGTAGACCCCTGCTAATATACCCGGGTTTATATCACAAGTTATTCATTTAGTTGAATGTAAAAAACCTGGGTCTTTATTACCGGAGTACTTTATATAGAAAGGTAAAATTAATTATATCGATATATTCTAGAGCTTTAATAGAATATTGATTTTTAATAAGATTCCTTGCAAATAAATCCACATGTCCTGCCATTAATTTATTATTTAAATTATTTAATATTCGATCCATAAATAAATTATACAACTAAAAATTATTTAAATTATAATATTTAGATAGTGCAGTGTTTTGTAAATTTATTGATATATTCATGCGTTATCTCAATTTACTTTTCTATATCGATATAAATTCTCTAAAATTTGATATTAAAAAGTCATGATGACTTCCTCTATTTGCATATTAAAATGCTATCAAATATTCATTGCAAGCAGTGTTTTGTGTTAGTCTATATATTTCAAGTTTACTACCCATCAACCTATTGCTATATTGTTTCTAGTCCCAAATATTTTCATATTTGACAGTTTTATTTTCATAAAACAGATCCACTTCATTATAATTTTTACCCGTATCTAAACTAGCACCTTGAATTAAATCACTATCTTAAGTTAATTCATAAACATTTTTATTTTCTTAACTTAGATCATATGAACATTCGTTATCTTGAGTTAAATCATAGATACTTTCATTATCTTGTGTTAAATCATAGACACTTTCATCATCTTGTCAAATTATAAATATTTTTATCTTTAAATTAAGGTATTTATAACCAATTTTATCTAATAACAAATATACTTACCAAAGTTATCTAAATCCAAATAATCTTTGTTGTTATGAATTGACTCTAAGTTTGTTAAATCAAAACATTTAAAGCATATTTATTAATTATAAACATACTTACTATCACTATTTGTATCTAAATTATTTTCGTAACTTCTACTATTATTCATCTCAAATATATAATTTCCATGTTTGCGTTAATTTTTTGGATTTTTCACCCAATCATAATCAAAAATTCTTTCATCCTCTGATCCATTTTGTACAACAGAAATACCACAACATTTGAA